GAATGATCCTATACATACAAATATATAAATGTTTGAATATAATTATTCTTTTGCATGTTTCATAGGAAAGGAACGAGAGATTATTTTTTCGTCTATTAAGTGAGAACATTGAGCAAATGATGCCAATTGTTTATACTCCTACTGTTGGATTAGCCTGTCAGAAATTCGGCGTTATCTATCGTAGACCTCGTGGACTATTTATAACAATATACGATAAAGGCCACATTTACGAGATCTTAAACAACTGGTTCGTATATTATAATAAAGTTGTCTTGGATTATATTTTTATTGCAATTTTTACACTAGTTACTTGAAAATTGTTCGAATAATAGATATTTTATATATATATATATATATATATATATATATATATAATATTATTCGAATTGTTACTACACGTTCATATAACGCGATTGTAAAATTTAGACGGTTATAATTTACAATATAATTTATATTTAGGCCTGAGCAAGCGGTTCGAGCAATTTGCGTAACAGATGGAGAGAGAATTCTCGGTCTAGGTGATCTCGGAGCTTGTGGGATGGGAATTCCAGTAGGAAAATTAGCTCTGTATACCGCTCTGGCTGGCATAAAACCGCATCAGTGTCTACCAATCACGATTGACGTTGGCACAAATAACGAACAGCTGAGAAACGATCCTCATTACATTGGTCTTAACAAACCTAGAAGTCAAGGTGCTGAATATGATGAATTGATTGATGAATTTATGGCTGCTTGTGTGAAAAAATATGGTCAAAATGTTCTTATTCAAGTACGCTTATAAACGACGCTCATTACCTTCCTTCATTTCGGCTACATGCAACATGGATATTTCATGCTAGTGTATTATTACAGTTTGAGGACTTCGGAAATCACAATGCCTTTCGTTTCTTAGATAAATATCGCGACAAGTACTGCACGTTCAACGATGATATACAAGGCACTGCCGCAGTTGCAGTTGCTGGTATTTTAGCATCAAAAAGAATAACCAAGAAGCGTATGTGCGAAAACAAATTCGTATTTTTGGGTGCTGGTGAGGTATGGCAATGCTTTATAATCTAAACAGATTACTACTTTCACAATAATCTTTATTTGCAATATTTTGGCTTTTAAATTTGTTCTACTTAATATAGGCAGCTATTGGAATAGCTGATCTTTGTGTTAAAGCAATGGAGGCAGATGGTTGTACCGAACAGGAAGCTCGTGATAATATTTGGATGATGGACATTGACGGACTGCTGGTTAAAAATCGACCAGAAGGTAACCTAGAAGGTCACAAGATCTGGTATGCAAAAAATCATAAAGTGATGAAATCACTATTGGAAGTTGTAAAGGAAGTAAAACCAACTGTTTTAATTGGTGTGTAACTCTTTATTCATCGATATATTTTGATCTCTATCTAAAGTAGAAATAATAATTTATAGGAGCTTCGGCAGCAGCTGGAGCATTCACTCCTGAAGTCTTGAAAGAAATGGCCAAGAATAACGAAAGACCGTTGGTTTTTGCATTGAGTAATCCGACCAGCAAAGCAGAATGCACAGCTCAACAAGCTTACGATTATACAAACGTATGAAAATTATTTGTATTGATGAAATCTTATTTAAAGTATGATGCGAGCTATCGTAATACTCTCCAAACAATATTTCTCCAAATAATATTTTTCTATATTTCAGGGAAGATGCATTTTCTCATCGGGTTCTCCATTTGGTGAAGTGAAGTATGGTGGAAAAGTTTTTAAACCTGGACAAGGAAATAACGCATACATATTTCCTGGAATTGCATTAGGTGTCATCGCGACTGGAGTTCATCACATTACCGAAGATTTATTCCTTATCTCAGCACAAGCTGTTGCTGATCATGTAAAAGATGAGGATCTTGAAGTGGGTAGCCTTTACCCACCGTTAGGCACTATTCGTGAATGTTCAATTGATATTGCTGTTCGAATTGCAAACTATGCTTATGCTAGAAGTAAGTACTTTTATTTTATTTGAATTTGATTCATATCAAATAAATGCTTGTACAAGCGGCGCTTAAATTTTTTACTGCCTTTGAACATCTTATCTATAATAATATTAAACTTTCAAATATGACTTCGAACAATATGTCTGATATTATTTCTCGCTTCAGCTGGATTAGCAAGCGAATATCCAGAACCAAAAGACAAACGGCAATTTATTGTAAGTAAAATGTACGATGCCAACTATGACAGTCCACTGCCAAATGTTTATGACTGGCCAGGAGATTATGCCAAACCTCGTGTTTTGCCTGATAAGTAAGTATTATATTTCTTTCTTAAAATATGTAACTCCATCTAGCATTTTTCATTTTATCATGAAAACATCTTTAAAAAAGGAAACGTTTTAAAAAGAATTTTCAGATTTAATTTACGAAGAAAAATGATTTATATATAAATAATAATAAATAGAAAATATTAGAATCCATATTAGAAAAGTAACAATGTCTACAGGAAATAGTGAATTTAAATGAAACTTTAAATGAAACCAATATCGTGATAGTAGCTAAATATCTACTCAGTGACCTCATTAACATGCATGTGGCTTTCTAATCTATCTTTCTTGCAACAGCGCTTAAAATCTAGCATTATTTCATTTCGTATGTTAATTCTGTTTAATACTTTTCTTCAAAAAGTATAATGGTACTAAGTTTCCTAGGTGTAATTAATTACGAATGTAGCTAGATACGAATGTCCAATATTAAGCTAGTGCATATTCATCATTTTCTGCGAAGAAGAAGTTACAAAATATTATTTGTTAATTTCAAGAAAGGAAGGAAATCGAATCGAATATTTCTTCTTCGCAGACCCAGCTTTCATAATAATCGCATAGTGCGAAACTATACGAATTATTTCTTTGGCATTTTTCTATCATCAGCTCGTTGCTCATCTGTGCTCATCGGTGCAGGCCGCTGAAAGCTTAATTAATTTTTTTCAGAGACACTGTAGAAATCCGCCACGATTTAAAACATCTGTAGCGGATTTCACCAAGCGGGATATTCAGAGGCTATCATTATTACCATTACCGATAAAAAAATATCGCTATGTCCTGCATTGAAACTATAAGACAAATCGTGACACAAGTACAGGCAACAGTGCGGTTGTAAAACAATTTTAGCTGTAAGGACTGTTACACTCTGTTAGTGACTAATGCCAGTGCTTTAACCATATAACTTGCACGAAGTATTAAGCAAACAGCGACATAATGCTATTATTACAGCATCGAATGTCTCGTAAGCTAACATCGCAGTATTAACGTCCTCCTTCATTCCATATGCAGTATTAGGATTGTTAGTTTATCGTTTGAAACCGTGATAGACATTAACCAGTGAAAGTATTTAAAGAAAGTTTATAATATTGTTGTTCACTTTTATGCCCTACATTTATGTTGTATAAGAGCAAAACATTAACAAAACAGTAATATTAATTTATTGAAATACGCTCGCATAGTACATTTATGGTTTTGCAGTACACACATGTGTACACACACACGCGCATATATAATGTAGCAAATACATATTTGTACGGTGAAATTTTTCGATCGTAAAACTGATTAAAAAAAAAAAAAAAA